ACAATATCAGAGAGTGGGTTTGATGTTCCTGCCTGTCATTGTAAATTCTAATAAAAACCTGTTTTAACAGACATTTTTAAAACTGCCAAAAACTTCAGTTGATCATAATTTTATAATTTAAATGGGTCTTAGTTTTTTTATGTGTTTTTTTTTTTTATCTAATCCTCAAAGACTTGCAACGTGTTTCATGTTTCTTGAATTATAAATGCAGAAAAGAAATTCACTGGAGAACTCTGCACCCCCAGAAATGCTACTAAAAGGCAGCACTTAGCTACCGATTACAGTCTGTGTTCGCTGCACTCGCTATATGAAAATTTAACAGGAAGATTCTGAACTGAAGCCATCCGTGACAAAAACTCAGAACCTGGCTGTGGGAGTTTCTCAGTTGCTCTGTGTCATCTCACCATAGTGCAAAACCTACCTGCTCTTTTGCACTTTTGACTTATTTCAATTTCTTTTCCTGCTGTTTTTTGTCACATCTCAGAGCTCAAGAAGCCAGAAGATTTTACTGCAAAGATGCTAAAATATACAGATACATCCACATTATTTGTAAGTGTGTCTTTTATTTTAAACAACAAGCATATATTATTGCAGACATCAGAGCTAGTTTCCACAAAAAGGTTTAGAGAGGAAACTGGAGAGTCAAAATAATCATTTATGGCATCTTGACAAACATAGACACACTCATCAGCTAATACTTGTTAAAAACATTGTCCCTGGGACATAAGTGAAAAGGTTATTTGATGAGCAATTGGCCATATTTATGTATCTATATCATCTGCTGTGCTCAAGTGTGAAAAGTTGCCTTAATATATGTAGATGTGCATAACTCTCTTCTTAGGCTGCAATTCTCTGCATGATTGTCCTGGTCAGTCTCCACTGTAAATTAACTTCAATCAGTATATAGAATTCTTGTCATGTTGATATAATTTTCTGCCTTTTAATGTCAACGCATTTAGATTATTTGGTTATTCTGAATCTCGAAGGTAGATTTTAACAAACTTTAACTTTGAGGTTAAATTTCGTAGGTGAAGCCACAAAGATAGATGCTTTAACCATTTCAGACATTTCTGCTGCTGGCTCAAATATAGTTACACAATGCCTCTTTAATCCTCATTTTCATCAGTGTTGGTTTTGATTTCATCTAAAAATCTGTCGGCTCTTAGAGCTCGGTGTCTGTGTGTTCAAAAATGCCTTGCTTAGATATTTGATGAGCGAGCACAGACTTCAGATGTGTTCTCTCACATCTTTTCTTTTCACTATACAAGACTAAATGGCATTTTTGGTAAAAGTTAAATTCATGTTAAATTTATGTAGCTCATCGTTTCAATACAGTCATGTTTTTGTTTTTTCAGCCAAGCTTGTCAACAAAATGTTAATTTTGTATATTTACAGATAATTTTGGCTCTGGCGCTGACGAACAGTATCACACAGTATCATGGCAACATGAGTCTCTGCACGTGTCTTTTCATGCACTGAAGTGTGAGTGTGTAGGAGGCTGCATAGCTGGTAAAGTGGGCCCTGAAATAGTGCATATCATGAGTCTGTAAGACCCTGTGGAGGTTATGGGGTCACACTGCTGCATTGCAACAAGCTCTGTGTTTTTGTGACTTATGTAATGGCATATGGAAATAAATATTTTCATATATAAGTGTGCATAGGAGGTACATGTGTTAAGGTAAACAGCAATGGGTGGGCAGTGTTCCCTGTCTTGCTATCTTAAATCCACGTCATTAATGACACTTGAAAATACTACAACAATCTCAAAATATGAATGTCATTAAAATATGATGTCGTCAGCATCTTGTTGCTTTGAACATGGCTATTGCAAGTGAGGGGTAGATCTGACTGACAATCTAGGGCACAAAAAACGTTTAAGTGGAAGTGATTTACTCAGATCAGAAGGTCCACCTTATTTTATACTCCTTGCTTTTCTCTATTTGATCTGAAAAATACCTTAAAATACCTTAAAATGATCTGAAAAATACCTGAAGCTAGGGACTGAGATTATAAACCCATTAAGAAGTGTTTACCAAGGTTATAAAGTAAGGGAGAAATAGAGTCATTTTCCCACAGACTTGCATACATTCAGTCTCCTTCTTGCCACCAGAGTTGTTGCCCCCTGCTGGCAATTACAAATAATGCAGGTTTAAGTCACTTTATTGGGGTCACTTTTCTCTTTCCTTGGAGAAGAGAAAAGCAAAGCCAAAGCCTCAACTCTTTTATATACAGCTTACAGATACAACACACAAGCTATTCTGAATGCTTTTAGTTTTGTTGCTCTATAGCTGTTTTGTAGTTACATATGACTGATTCATATTTCAAAACTAATAAAGCCATAGCCATCTTTTACATACAGTCTATGTGATCAATTCATCAAAAACTTATTTAGATACATGATATTTAACCATACGTACTGTGTTGTTTAGTTTTGGTTTTATTTACCCAGTTTCCATCTGGGAGATTCTTGGATCCATATTAATATGGTGGAAGTTAATTTATTTATTAATTCTGCAATAAAAACGACAGCCAAATCGCTCTGCCTAAAATAAGAATTGTAAGTTATAGAGCATCAGGGATAACATTCTTCTCCTTTTTATTATTTTTGTTTGTTTCTTACTGAAATGGGAAATCAATCCTCAGAGTAAGCACTGTACGCAGCTACTTATTGTAAAAATGGTTCCAATAGCACACTGTGTGAATAATTATTTTTTTCATCCCTCCAAAGACACATAAATGTGTGAGCTCACCTTTTTGTGCCACCGCTTTCCCAGTGAAATCACCGGAGATGCATTTTTATGAGCATTTTATTGTATTTATGTATCTCTTTTGTGTCCCTCTCTGTAAGCACTTAGTGACATGTTTTACTGAGATTGCTTTTCAGAAAACAGAACTGGATTTAGATCTGCCGCTTATTGTTAAACACAGCACGCAGGAGCAGATATCGCAGACATTCACAAGGTTATGTCCTTAAATGTCCTTATAGGCTTCTTGTTCCACTGAATGATTACACTCCCACTAACACTTTGGTAATTATTTTTTGACTGCATCAAAGCTGCCAATTTCAGATTTTGCATTTAGAGGAAGGAACGCATTGTCGGTGATTTGTGCTTGTTTGTCTTCAATTGTTCTGTTTTTTCCTTCATATCATCCAATATTCAGTTATTCAACATTCACCATCTCGCCCACTCTCTTTCTTCCTCTGTTATAATTAGCTGTGTTTGTAAACATAAAAATCACAGCCATAAAAATACAAAGAAAGTAGTGCTGTGTATTTTGTGTCTGTGGAAACTCCTGCATTCTAGATACTTTTGCTGCTTAACTGTTTTGGCCCCAATCCTATGGTCTCTGTTAAGGAAAACCTCAATTCTACAGCACACAGTGATATAATATAGCTTTTCCCAGCTTCGTGACAACAGCTTGGGGATTTCTGTTTCTGCTTTTACCTTCACCGTTCCCCTGAGCACAAAGCTGGCTTGTATTAAATGTATTAAATGTGTAAAATGTCATTTTTAAAATTCTATAAATCACATTGGAAATGTTTGTTTATACCGAAGACTACATTTAAAAGATATGTAATTTTTAAATGGGGTGATATGCTTGAACCCAGAATGCAGAGGGGGTGGGTGTATGTGTAGAAAACTGGTGTACACACTAAAATTATAAAGCTCTTCTGCAACCCTGTTTTTATTAGATTTATTAAAGCAAAGTGGAAAAAAGTATTTAGACTTTTTACTTTTTCAGTTATGTACAAATTATAATTCTACTTAAGTAGCTAATAGTTCACTCAAAATTACACTTTTCAGAATCCTATTTATGATATTATTGGATTAAAATTAGCAGTTTATTGATGTGTGTATATATTTAATGTTACAGCTGTTGATGTTTTTAATTAGCTATGTATAGCACTATAGCTTTATCTAAAATGATCCAATGAATCTGAAAAATACCCAAGTAACTACAGCAATACTAATAAGTATGTGCAATTAGTAGCAAGTGCAATAAGTATATTAAGAATATAGTTGAATACATTCAGAAAGCAGCACAATACTAGTACAAGCACTGAAGTAAATGTACTTAGTTACATTCCCATTGGTACTGATCTGTGCTCTCATCCAATGTGGACTGTAAGATGAACAGTACTGTACTTCAATGTCTTTGGTGGGGTGGCGCTTGGGGGGAGGGGGGGGATCATAGCTCGGGAGGGCTGATCCTACTCCTACTCTTTTCTGTTGTGTAAGCCTGAATAAAATTTAAGCAGTTGAGTAATCAAACTAACAAAAGAAACCAAAGATTTAAAGCTGGCTGTAAACAAGCTGACTCGTTACCAGCACGTCGCCAAACCTTCAACCAAACCTTGTCTAAGTAAAAGCCTCATGACACAGTATCAGCACCAAACCTGACTGATGTTCAAATCCCTGCACCGTAGCTTCACAGCATGATGACGAACCTACCCATACGAGCAGAGGCTGTTATAATAGATTTAATGCCTTTGGTATAGGAAGCACATAATATAGCTGTTAATATAGTGTGTATTCAAAACTGGCCTCATTTGACTATAATCCTGGTTTGGTTTTATTCACCCTCCACTAAAACGCCCACTCTCTTTTTCTTTTCTCCCTCTAGCTCTTTATTCTCTCTCTCCTCTTCTTTCTCCCTCCTTTCTCTTCTTCTCTCCTCATTTCTCTCCATCTCTCCCACTCTCTTTCTTTCTTTCTATCTCCCTCGCTCTCCCTGTCGCTCCGGCTCTCCCTCTCTTACCCCTCCCCCATCTGTGGGAAGCTGCCGTTGTGCGCATGTCGCCGATGAGTCAAATTGTGGAGGCAGTGCATGCACACACACATACACACACACACACACACACATATCCTGTCTCCCACGAAGGCATCTGTTTCAGTCTGTCTCTCTGTGAGATGCAGCACCAACAGAGAGAGGGGGAGACAAGAAGAGGGAGGGAGAAAGAAGAGAGGAGGGAAGAATAAGAAAAAAGAGGTGTGAGAACAGAGGCACAGAGCAGAAAGAAAGGAGAAAGAGAAGAAGGGCTCAAATAAAAAAAAATTAAGAGTGAACAAAGATAAAGCAAAGACAAAATACAAAATACAAGACTCTTCTTCAGAAGAGGAGAGGATGCTGCTGCAGCTGAGCATCTATGCCTGACTTCTGAGGAGTTCTCAGCTCGGACATGACTGACATGCAGCATTCCTGCATCTGAGCATCTCTAGTCCGTGCATGTGTGTGAGAGAGAGAAAGTGAGGGTTAATGTGTGTGTGAAGCCATGGCGAGTGCTCAGCCGGGGGTCCACGCGTTGAAACTCCAACCTCCTTCCGTCTCTCACACGCTGAGGAACGGAAGCAACTTCATTAAATGGGATGAGGTAAGGACTGATTTTCCTCAAGCACAAGCAAATAGTTTTATTTAATTCTACTACTTGAAAAAAATAAGGAGGCTGAGGAAACAGTCAAAGAATTGAAACTAGCTGAATTAATGTGGAGCGTGAGAAATTGAGGAGGAAGAGGAGGAAATGTGCCATGTTGTCAGATGTGTTTACTATTCATTTGCTGATTGAGCTTTGGCAGTAAGTACCTGTGGATCTTACCAGTGAGGCAGATAGTGTGTGTGTGTATGTAGGTGTGTGTCTGAAATGTGTTTCTGATCAGTCTTCTATCCACCAGTATTCATGTACTGTGTGTGTATAAAGCCCACACATACTTACTCCTGTGCCCTTCATGAGCACAGTCAAACACAAGGTATTTGCAGAGCTGTGTGTGTTCCTCTGTGTGCATGTGTGTGTGTTGGTATGCTGAAGTACAGAGCGCTGACAATGAGGAGGAAAAAAAAAATGCTGTCCGGTTGCCATGGTAACTGACATGGTTACCAGCACCTAAACAGATCAGGTGTGTGTGTGTGTGTTTATTATCACTGCCTTGAGCTTTATAATGTCATGGATCATACTTATGGAGAAGTACTTAAGAACTAATCCAATGCAGAGCTGAATCCATTCACAATAGCTTAAACGTGTGTGTGTGTGTGTGTGTGTGTGTGTGTGTGTGTGTGTGTGTGTGTGTGTGTGTGTGTGTGTGTGTGTGTGTGTTTGTGTGTGTGGTGTGTGTTTTGATATTTGAATCTCTCCAACATGTAGAGCCGGGCTTTATGAAAAATAGAATCAGTTGCTATGGCAACAGGTGACAACCAGGGAGCTAGTTAACCAGCTTCTGAGCTTCTTCTTCTTCTGGTTTTTCTTCTTCCAAATGTAGGCTGTGTTAACACTTTCAAGAAAACAAAAAACCTGCAAAACAATGTGAAGAACTTTATAAGTACGGACATCTAATGTTTAGAGGACTGAGCTCAAGCTGGTTCCTGTGCCTTCTGAGAAATAGGGATGGAGTAAAAAGTCCCTCCAAGGGTTAAATATATGCCCTTTTGAATAGCTATATTAATTATAGCACAGCAGGTAAGAGGTATAGCTTTGCCAGATTTTATTGACTAGTATTATGAAACAGTTTGTGTACGATCAGGAAAACAAAGAGAAAAAGAAGTACCATAGAAATATAGTGTTGCCGAGGTTAGCAATTGTGCCACATGAAAAGCAGATGCTGATGTGTGACAGACAAACCGTCTTAGTAAGAGCCTTAGTAAGAGTTTCAATGCTAGTCATTTTCCATGCATGCAAACAATTAATTATTTAAATTATTGTGTACCCCTGTATATAATTTTGCACCATTAAATTAAGGTGCAACATTCTGAGCTGGGACTAAAGACAAGTTATAATGATAGAACTGACGAGGATACCTTTCTTTTCTCCCTGTGACATCTGGAATAGTCCAGCTTAAATCTTAAATCAATAAATTCCATTATTCTCACTCACAATTCACAGCTTTTTACGTATGAGGAGAACATATGTTCTTTTCTAAAGATTCTGAAGAAATATGGGAAATTTTAGAATTCAGTGACTAATTTAGTGTTGTTCAGTTACTGTATTTAGTTACTGTACAAGGTGATAATAGTTGGTTTATTAGGTGGTATTCCTTCCTTGTGGTGGACTTTTGGTCACTAGTGGATATTCCAGGCTCTTTTTTGCATTTGTATCCCTAAAATATATTTCATACCTTTTCATATTATTTAATTTTTTTTTGTCCATTATTCAGTGGTTAATAGACAGATTTTTAAATCCTGGTTCTGTTTTATTGTGATTTTTCTGTGCTTGTAAGTTTGTTCAGCAATGCACTTGTGATGTATTGACTGAATGACAATAAAGGAATCTGAATTGGTCATCAGTGCCCTTAGCTTCTGTTGGTATTGATTTCAGCTGCTTTCCTCAAAGCGGGGATTAGTTTATTTCAGTAGCCTATACCCTTTTACTTTGCTAACGGATATTTTGCCTGTCATGGCTACAAGCTGCCAAACTACATTAACCTTTCCAGTTGTCCCTGGGGCATCATTTCAGGCGGGTGTATGGGTCGATTATACGCAAGTTAGCCCACATGTCCTTTTTTCAATAGTATGAGCTACTTTTTTCAAGTGGGTGTGTTTTACCTATACTCTTTTTCTCACCCTAACCATGTACTGGTTTTCTGGCAGTGTATAGTATAAAGCAGCAGCCCAATTAACCTATGTGCCAGGCATTTTTTATGGTTTTCATTTAACTAATACCTAAATAGATCTCTGTTCCTGTTAATAATTTTTACATATTAACAAAACAGTTTGAGCAGTTTTGTAGAAGTACAAAACTGATATCCATTCACAGTAACTGAGTCCAGAACCTTGTTAGGCTAAAGCCTTCACTACTGTGTGCAGCTGTGAAAGATGCAAAAGATTCATGCTGGAAGTGGGAAACTGTCACTGTTTCACACCTCCCTGCTCTTGTTCTGCACACAGATAATACAGCTGTTGGGTTTGAGCATCAAATCAATTAAGGTTTAGCTTATAAGAAGGTGGACAGCACTATATTAATTAGATGTAACATTAAATTGTATTGGAACATCTTATTCCTGTGCCTCAGACAAGATTGTTTTCAAGTCTGTGTCAAGGTACCAACAACAAAGGACACATTACGCATAGCATGGAGGCATCCAGTAAAATGTAGCATTACAAGCCCTGGGATGAGAAGGCACTGGCATGCCATAGTCTTTGTTTGTGTGTGCCCTTTTAGGAAGATTCAGTGTGCTAGGACAATGAGAACAAAAGATTTGAAAGTGGAGAGAAATCAGTCCAATCCGTGCTGGTATGGAATAGGAAGAAGCAAAGCCGGTGAGCTAGTTTAAGCAGATGAGTTGAGCTGCATGGTATCATGCTTCACTCTGCTCAGATCATACATTAATGACATGCAGTTTGGTGGTTTATTTAAGCAGCAAAGTTTCCCATCTCTCTCATTTCTGACATGTTGATATTTATAACTCGAGAGGTCAAAAGCAACCAATGTTACAACTATAATCTTTAACAGCATTAGTCAACTTAACAATATTATTATTATTTTATTATACAATAATCCTTTAGTAGCCTTCATTATTTCATTGAATCTCCTATTACTGAACCAGCAAAAATATTGGATTCAATTTAACATATACTGTCAATATGATATGATGTCTAAAAGCTTTTGGTTGAATTGTCTTGTTGTAACTATAACTATAAGTCACAGCTCCCCGGTTACAAAAGCTGCAGGTTAATCAACTTTATAAAGAAGTCTTAAGTTTGCTTCACCAACTTTGCAAAAATGACAAATTTCAGCTTTAATTTTTGATGCTATGCTGTCTTCTTCTGGCGTCACTGGCATGTTTGTGTTGTTCGATATTTAGACTTTTTTGCTGTTATTATTGATTTTGTACAGCTTAAGTTGCTTTATTTTTGATTATTAACTTATTTTTGATCTGTCACATTAAATCTTTTGAACCTTTTTGTTTGATTCATGGCAACTGAAACTGTTAAAAGATTCCATCAGTACCTGTAATAAAGTCACTCCAACCCTATCTCTGTTTTGCAGAAAAGCAACTGAAACCACTCTGATTAAACTTTACTAAACTGTATAGATTCAAAGCTTTACATAGTCACAAATCTTTGCACTCCCTTGAAGCATATTCAATTTGGCTGCAAGCTTCAAAACATCAGTTTATCAAATAATTTGGGGGATTCAAACTGCTTAACCCCATATAAAAAATACTTAGTAAGTATTATTTTGGTCCATTCAATACCAGATATTTACACCAGGCTTCAAGGTGCTTTTATTTTTAACCAGTAATTAGCCACAGAAACCGGTCCTCTGAGACACCTGCTGTGTATAAATTGCTATGACTTTTCAAACAGCAAAACATCAGAAGAGCTGCTCTGTCTGAATCCACCTGGAGCCAATTAGGAACTATCATGGTGGGTTAATATGGATAGATAGTTAGTGTTATGACAGCTGAAAAGAACTTCTGTAACATGAAAATGAAATCGCTTAGTGTTCCCTGGTTAAAAGAGGTCACGCTGTAGTGAGTAGTAAAATAAGATTCTGGACACTTACAGTATGAATCACTATCACTTCATGCCACCACAGACAAGTGTATTCTTACATAATTTTCTCGCCCTACCAAGTAGAACATTTTTATGAGTGCATTAGCTACGTAAATGATTTTTCGCTTGAGTTTTTATGATGTTTTACGGTTATTTTCATTCTCTCCACCTGTCTCCCTAGGATTTGTCCACTGTCACTCCAGTGACTCTGCATGTGGATCCACATGGATTTTACCTCTACTGGACCGACCAAAACAAGGTTAAGCACAAAAATCAGCTGTCTTAGATATAATTCTCTTAGACTGGCTGTAGATATTAAATGATGAGGAACAAATTAAGCTTGATACCACAAAAAGTGACATTAATTGATTTGGTGACTCATCAATATTCAGTATTTCAGTCATTAAAACTGGAACTTTTTTCAGACTAGATTCTGAATCAAAGATGAATCATTAAATGTTTCATTACTTTCTTATTTTATGCACATTTGACTAAATTAATTTGCTAATGAAGATTGGTTTTTTAAATTAATTTTCCATTTTAAGTTTGATTAAATGTTGTCTGAATCATTTTTTGTGCACCTGTGAAGCAATTTTATTATTTTTTTATACACAAAAATATAACCAATACAGTCTAGCTGTTAGTCTGATCTGTTTTTGCTATGCTATGTTATGTTTTGCTATAAGATGCTAAATATCTTGCTTCCACATAGTCTTGTCTGTGAGCTTTATCTACTACAGAAACTGCATACATATTTACAACATTCAGGTTCACTGTGCTAACAATAACCAGTTATGTTTTTGGAATGCAGAGAAAAAGATATACTAAATGCTGCAGTTGGAGATCATAGCAGAGCCAAAATGATTCCCACCATGTGTAATGATTTTACAGTTTTCTTACCTTTGAAATGGTTGCTTTGAAGTTTGTGACCACTCACAGCCAGTTCCTGTCTTCAAATGATAGTTACACTGACTTGGTCAGATATCAGTCTGAGTTAGCTTACAGTTAAATAGCAACAGGTTGGTAATTACATGCAAACTTTTTGTGATAATATGATGATTTATTGTGATAAAGCAGTGAAAATAGCAACTCTGTTGCCATCTACATACAGAGAAATTTGCATTAAACAGAAAAGTACAGTAAATACTTACATTCAAAGTCAGTCAAATCAGAACCACATAGATTTGAAACAAATATTAATAAAGGCCTCCACAAATAATGAGGTAGTTGCTGCAAGATGGTGATTTAACTGCAGAATGGCATAAACACTCAGCATTCCAGCTTTTATTTCAGGATATAACCGGAATACAGCTAGTTTGTCAACCAGCTGAGTCGAGTCAGCTGCTGCAAAGACATGAACAGCAGACAAGTTGCACTCAGCAGCACAGACTGATTCGGATTGGTTGCAACACATTGGCAAACTGTCAGTGTTCATAAATTAGACATCAATTACTTGCAAAGCCTCCCCAACCTGTTTGAGAGTGAGTCAGTCTGAGTTGGACCGTGATTATTTGGAGACAGATTGCTTCCCATCAGGTGACTTGTGCAATCGCCTTGCGATCATAAGTGGCCACCCAGATGTTCAAAAACCCAGAGGTTAGCTTTGTCACCTGAAAGTATGAAAATGCATGAGAAGCACAAACTGTGTGCTATTCAGGAATTAGCTGTTTTTATTTTTTACAGACAATTCCAAGAATGTTGGAATTTATTTTTATTTTTTTTAGCTTTGTTAATCAAAGGCTTGCCAATGTTAAGGTTATGTATTCATACACAAGAACTGTAGAGATACAATGTATAGTCAAAGGCTGGGTGGATACCTTTAAAAGGTATGCAAAAAGCAAGCATATAAGACAGCATACCATTGCACACACATACATACATGCACACTTTCTTTCCAGGTCGGCTTAAATCCTTAACAGGAAACAGCAGGAGGCCTTTAGCTCCCAGATAGCAGCTGACTGTGTGAGTGTGTGTGTGTGTGTGTGCTCTATGTGTGGGTGTGTTTTCATTAGGACACAGAGCTGTTGGACCTGACCCTGGTAAAAGATGTCAGAACAGGCAGAAGCACGAAAACACCCAAGGTACTGTTATCTCTCTGCTTATATTCACCTCTACTTGACTCTGCACGTGTGAAATGTATGCTGTGTCCTTCCTGCATTGCAATTTTCAATCCTCCTACTGCATCTCTGTAGCCAGTGACCTCTCACCTAACAGTTGCTCCTCTTATGCAGCAGAATGTGATGTTTTATTCATGAAATTTTTAATATTTGACTTAACGTTTGCATTACTTTTTGTAGCTGACATTACGGCATTCGTGCTTTAATAATAAGTTGATGTTTTTTATTGCCTCTTTTTTCTTTCTGTACTACCATGAAATACTTTAGATTTTATTTCTGTTACCTACTATCGTTTATGTTATATTTATTGCTTTGCTTCCTACTTCAATAGAAGACTTGTGCTTTGCTTTCATAAATAGCAAAGCATCTGATGTATTTTGTTCGAGGGCAGCCATAATATTTGCCTGACTGGGTTTCTTAATGATTTTAATCCTTGATTGTTACTGTGACTGCCTCATAAGTCTCTAATAATCTCCTCCCTCTGGTCCTCCTCTACCCCTGCTTTTACTTTGTCATCCTGAAAATGATGTGCCACCATGTGAGGAGGGAATTTAACGGAATAATCACAAGATTGAACATTAAACCGAAGCAACAAAAGGAAAACGCAAAAACATTTAACAAACCGAACCTCTGGAAAACGTTTTTTTTAAAATCAGTGATTTCACATCTTTCCTCAATAAGTACGCAAAAGGAGACATGGCTGGTGTGCCATCACCTCGTGGCATACACACACTGGGCAGATCACCTGCCATCAGGGCTAAGAGACAGACAACCATTCACAATTACTTTGAAGCTTACAAGCAATGTTGATTCAGTTAACCTAAAATGCATGTAGTGGGGTGCCAGAATACCCAGAGAGAACCCACACAGGCACACAGAAAAGCACCAGTCTGGTTGATTGATTTGAACCCAGGACCTCTTTGCCATCAGGCAACAAACTTCTTTAAGGAAATGTGAATGATGTGCTTTAAATCACTGGTGGACATGTAAACTCAACTTTCCTGAAATCTACACATGCGGCAGCACTATTTAAGCATAACGTTTAACCCACCAGACCATGGTACTAACAGAATGCAAGACTATACTGATCTCCCAAACTGGCCTCTCATTTCTTACATTTTGCTTCCAAGGCACCAGACTTTTTAGTACTTTTTAAAATGGTCTTGAGCAATAATTCTCCAGCTATTGACTGGTGTACATAGTGTAACGTGTATCCGTAAAATATTTGAGGAAAGTGAACAAATGGAGGGCAAAAGAAAAAACGTCAGGTCAAAAAACTATTTACAACAGATAAACAGTATCTGAAAGTATTGTCCTTAAGAAATTAAAATAAAAATGTAGAAGACTTGACACCTGACAGTTGATTGGTTCCCCAAAGTCTCATAGAAATAGTATTAATTGAAGGGTGGCTGTCAAGAAAAAACCAAAGAAAGGAACCAGGAGAAAAGTCTGAGATGTGCCAAATTACACAAACCAAATTTGAAATGTCTGTGAAGGTTCTCAGTCACTCATGTCATGGTAGTCTAAGGAGCTTGGAAAGAAAAGTGTCTGGACTTCTTTAAGTTTCCTTGAAGACGTTTCGCCTCTCATCAGAGAAGTTTCTTCAGTTCTAAGAGTAACTGGTGGAGAGTCCCAGATTTTACGCCCTATGGGAGTTTCCCCAAGAGGATCATGGAGCCAGTGGAGAATCCATCATGTCCTGGGACTGCATTTCAGTCACAAACCAGACAGTAGCATCTACAAAGCATCTGGCAGCAGTGTTCACAAACACACTTTCAGTCTTAGACAGAAAAACATACAACGTAACACTATCAGTAAGATGGCATATAGTAGGAATGGCCTCTCCAGAGCCCGCACCTCAACATTATTGAAACACCGTGTATCATCTTGACTGGAACAAGAGGAATCTCCCTCAAGAAGCCCGGAGAACTATTCCTGAAGACTACTTGAAAGCTTGCCTAGGAGAATTCAGGCTGCGCTGAAGAATAG